AATTTTCAAGACAAAGCCTTTTGTAGTATAGGAAGAAGTATTTTATACCATTCCTCTTGAACAGCTTTCTAAAGTCCAACGAGTACTGTAGGTCGCTTTACAATCCACTTTTTACAAGCCAAAGCACAGATATCCAAATAATTTTTTAGGTGATTAGCAGGATATAACCTTGTTACCCATTTCTTGTTCCTCTTTTTTTTTTTTTTTTTTTTTTTTTTTCAGGAAATTAACAGCAGATTTTGACATGTGGCTGCTTGGACAGACTGATGGCACTTTCGGTAAAGAGGTGTTTTGTATTTGAAAATTAAGTATAAAATATGTTTCTGGTAATATGCGAGGTTGACCATTGCAGTTTTCTCCACTAATTTTTATTTTTCGTTATATCAAAAACCAACAACAATTATAGATCCTTTTGAAAAACTCTCTTTAGATTTTAAGATTTTTTTTCATCTTTTTGATGATAACAAATGGATTTCTTTTCATTGTATCATTTAAATACATCCAAGATTCATCTGCTGTGGCAGTATTTTTCCATTTTAGTTCAGACAAGTGTTTCTCATGGAGAATTTGTCTGTGTTCTACATTTGGTGATATATCATGTAGAAAGACAATGCACATTATATTTTCCCTAATTACTTTGTTTCCAGTTGATATTGAGCATTTTAAGGATTTTGCAACTCTTCTTTGACTTGGTGGATTTTCTTTTGACATTAAGGATCTTACCTTTGCAATATTTGAAACACTCCATTTTTTTTCTTGGATGTATGCTTAGAAAAATTTTTCTCCTCTAAGCAAAACTTTGACGTTTTTTTCCTTTCTTGTTGACGGTGTTACCTATTGTAGGTTTATATATCAAAAGACCATGGCTTTCACAGCATTTTCTAATAGCTAGATACAAATAATTTTCTCAGAAAGAAGCCAGACATAACCTTCCATTCATGGCTTCTTTAAAAGTGACATTTTGCATGAAAACAAAACTTTCAAATAACAGATGATAATTTATACTTTCAAAAATATATTTGCAGTTAAAAAAAAATTCCAAGCAGATTTTATTTTTTAAACAAAATCATCTAAAAAATGTGTGAACAGCCTCTGTATGATTTATACTGCTCTCTGCAGTACAGTTGCCAGAATATTTTAATTACTAATACTTTTTATAAATTGTTTAATATTTAAAAATGCTGAGCAAGGATGCCTCAGTGCAACTATGCTTTTAACTGCTAACTTAAATACTATGCATCCTCTGCTTAAGATATGAATTTAGACTGATATTGAGAAGATATTGTAAATGTAAGAAAATGTAATGTCTGGAAGTTGAACAATATGCTTTTTTTCTACAAAATGTGAAACTTTCACTTTTCTCCTTATTTCGAGTAATAAAATCTATAACACCAAATTATTTTTTAAAGATTTCTAAATTAAGGGCCAGCATTAAAGAATATCAAATCAAATATTGTGAAATGTATGATACAGAATTTGTTTTCAAAGCTATTAACATATAATACTTACAAAATGAGAATGATTTTATTTAATCTTTAAAACATACATATTTAACAAAAAATTAATAGCTTTACCAAAACACAACATTTCAAAAATACACCTTTACCGATACTGTTCATCAGTGATCCTTTAAATAATACGTAACATTATATATAATATTAGATGACATGACCAGCATGAAAACAATTAAATGACATGCCTGAAGTATTATATATCACATTTTATAAGAATATTCTGATAACATACATAACATGCATCAGTAATGAAAGACGATAATACTTTTAACATTGTTCTTAAAATTTTATATCTGTATTTCTGAAATTAGGCATCTTAGTCTAGCACAGATTTTGAATAAAACTAGCAATTTCAGGGAAGATCAGACACTGATTTACTTTCAAACATTTGTATTTAAAATGTTCATAAAATTTGGTGGATAGCAAAAGCATTGCTAAATATTCGGATAATATAAAATAGGCTTCAATTAACAGCACATTTTTTAAGATTTATCTCTAAACTTTATGATTAAGAGCAAAAAAAAATATTTCTGACTTTAAAATATTTTCAAATCTTGGTCGAAGTACTATAGTAATTGACATAAATTACAACACTTTATATACATAAAATATGCATACTCACTTGAAACTTTCAAATTAAACTTAACTTTAACATATGTTTATATTTTAAGACATTATCTGATTATGAATAACTTCACAAAAAAAAAAAAAAAAAAAAAAAAAAAAAAAAAAAAAAAAAAAAACATCATAAAGAATGAGCAAATTAAAAAACTTCATCCTAAATATATTTTCCTTGCTGGCGCAAACGATAAAGTCCCAATAATGACAACTCTGTCGGTTTTCGCTGGAACTTTTACACCTCATTTTCGAACAGGCGCAACTTTTCTTTCAGATTGTTCCTGGATACAATTAAAATTTTTACACGGTTAATTAAGATGAATTCGCGGTAACAATTAGAATCACATCAAAAACAACCACCGCTTACCCGAAAGCGAAAATATACAAAGGCAAAATCAAAGAGTTACATCTCCATTCTAATGAGAATGACTAGCGAAGTAAAGCACGGGGTTTATTAATTTCTGAGTAAGTTATTTGTACGAATTGAAATAATTCTTGCATTTAAACTTGCATTCCAAATAAATTTAACTTGAAATCAATGTAAATAATTACTGAGAGAATTAGATTTTTTAGCGTATTTTTTACTTGAAATGAGATCACTAGGGGTCACATAGTTCAGGATGTGAACTAAAAGCAGATAAATTTAAATTATTTCTTTTCACAATTTATTGTATTTATTCATTTTATAAAAAATTTTAAACCATTAAAATGTTTATGCCTTCAGAATAAAAAATTCTTAGAACTAACATCCGTTAACATTTTTTTATGCGTATGCTATATCTGGTCGCCAACAAAGTCTGCTTGGCGAGATTTGTGCCGGCGAAACGGAAAAGTACCTAATAATATTTTACTGAGCACTTTGATAAATATTAGCAAATAATAATATTTTTCTTGACAACAGTGATGATAAAAATGTTTCTGTGCAGTAATTCCTTTATATGTTACTGATAAGGAAAATCTTCTGTTTTGCTAACTGACATAGAATATTGCAATTCTTTATTTAATTGTGTAGACAGAAGAAAATATTTCTACTTGTATAGCATATAAAAACTAAAAAGATTTCCTTCTACAAAACGGATCATCAAATTTTGAAGACTCGTGAAATAATTACACCATTAACAAAATTGTTCTATTATATAAACGCATACAATTACAGTCTTACACAATACAAATTCACACAAATTTGAATAAACAGCTTGTTCTAAATTATCACGTTGTTAAAGAACATACTATATGGTATTATATAAATGTTCTATATAGTATCAGATACAGTTTCAAAAAATTATACACAACACTAAAAACCATACTTCCATAAACACTGATAATGAAGCAAGAGAGTGAATCCATAACATATATGTTTATGTTTGTGGGTGGGGTAGTTGTGTGAAGAGAGATCTATAAAAATACAGGCTACCACACTATATTATGGATTTTTCTTGCTTTACATACAGTCTGTAACTTTATTATTTACATCTTCACATTTTATGAATTTCTGCATAAAACCATGAATATAAAGCTTGATTGTATACATTTATACAAAGTTACACTTTATACACAGAACAGTATCATAAAATTAAAATTTACATTTGAATAGAATTGAAATAGTAATGCATTCCTTATATCCCATTTATTCTATTTTAATTAAAAATTATTATAAACTTGAATAAGAATTCATTATATGAAATTAGATAAATAGAAGACTTCACATTTTCAAGAAAATATTTAAAGCAACAATAAAAACAAAACACCCTCAAAGATATCAACATCTTTTTTCCTTCAATGTATCAAACTGTTCGATAGCATTAAAATACATATTATTACACACACAAAAAAAAAGTTTTTATATACATTTTCTAATTACAAACATACAATGGAAGGAAGTATTACTATTATATTACACAAATTAGAGATTGAACAAAAAAGATTTTTTTTATCTTGGACCTCTTTAATGATTATATATATACTAAATTTAAATTGCACATAACATTAACACAATGTACAATACATAGATTTACATATAATTGTTTCATCAAGTCATATAACAAAAATTAATAAAATTCCAGCTTTTCTCTAATTCAAATAAGAAAAGTATGCTAAAGCAGCAAATTATACAACATGGTTAGCATTTTTTAATACAATCATAGTAATATTGGAGGCATTAATTAACAGCTTAAATTAATAAATTATATATGTCATAACACATCAAATTTACATATTTAAGAATTAGTTTTTCAAATACATTTCTAATGTTACATTAAGAAAAATAACAAAATTATACACATAGTTCATTACAGAAATAAAGGGAATACTGTATTATGATTAATTTTGCTAAATTAATCATAATATAGTAGTCCTTTACTAAATAATGGAAGTTGAAAATTATAAGGGCAAAAACTGAAATATAGATATTTTACCATAACAGTCAATTACCATATATACCAAAAGTTACATTTTAAAAATATATTTAAGAATTCCAGAAAATGTGAGCAATAGTCTTGGTAGGTAGGTAGCATTCAATAACAAACATAACATATATATAAAAGGCATTGTGGATCTTAAGAATCATTTATGCCTCAATTTTTCTTTTCTTGTTTTATTAAAAACTATAAAACTTCTACATGTGAATAGAAATCCATATACATATATACAAAGTTTCAGTACTTTAAAAATTATGAAGCTTTAAACAATTCAAACATCAAAATTATTAAATGCTAAAATATGGAATTATTAGCTATATTGCACGCAGAATATATTCAAAAATGATCTCTAAGTATACCAAATTAAAAAAATTAATGACACAAAGAAAGTTTGTTTCATAATATGGAAACAAGAAGTGAGAAAAAACTAAATAAAACATCTAACTCTGAATGGAATCAAAACATCTTTATTAAATTATTAAAAGATCTACACACTTGTTTTTCTGTGTACTGCACTATGAAAATTGCAACTGTACAGTAAATTCTGCCTGCAAAATTTAATTAATAAATTTCGATTACCAACTACTTACAGTAATAGTTTTGATGTTTAAATATGAATGAATATTAATTAATATATGGATTTAAATGTTTAAATATGTATGAAATGGTTTTTTGGCCTCTAAGTTTATACTCATGAGAATAGAAGACTGAGATATCAAAATTATGAAAATTTCTTTGTTTCATATAAATTATGTTTTATATGGACTTATTAAGAAGTCAGAATTAAACAATTTTACCATTAAAAATTGTATTAAATGAAGCTAACAGAGTAGAAACTGAGTAGTAAAAATTCATTCAAACCTGAATCTCTTACATATTTACTTGAATTCTGAAAAATTAAATACATCAGTGATGTAAGTAGATTAATCCTCTGCTAATGATTTGAAGATATACAAATGACATAAAAATACACCCATAGTGCTACAAAAGGAAAATAATCCATTTTTGTGCAAGACAATAAAAACTGCAAAATACTGAAGTTATTTCTGATATTTGATGATAAAACTGGGAGTACAGGGTTAAAATAGGAGGAATTTTCATGAAGTCTGTTAGATTCATTAGGAAAGTTTTAGCTTAAAAAGATGATGAATTCTTTGCGAAACACTACGTGAAAGACTTCCAGGTAGTTGCTGATGTTTCTTTATCATGCACTTCATTCTTTCAGCAACCTATTAAAAGTAAATGTTTAAAAAATTATTAAAAAAGATTCAGAGTACAGCTCAAAATAACAAGTATCAACTTACATTTATTTAATAGATAGTAATTTTACAATTTATAAAGATTTTTTCCAATTCATATTTTAGTTTCCCAGATATATTTGATAAGATCTCTCAATATCAATATAATAAATATGTACAATGGAACCTCACTTGACGAGCTTTTTTCCCAAATCTTACTAGTAATGTGAAACAATTTTTTTCCATAAGAATCAATGCAAAATAGGATAATGTGTTCCATTGTGAAAAAAATACACTAATAGATTTATAATAATGTAAGTAATTTATTATTTATAATACATCCTTTTTTTACAAGAAAGTTGTCTAAAGACATTTGTTTTTGCGTACGCCTCAAAATTTGGGGAAAATTCGACACATCATCATCATTAAATAAACTGTTAATGCATTTAGCTATTGCCTTATTAGGGTGATGTTTCTCAACATACTATTAACAGTTTTTCTTGGTTTCAGCATCTTCCTTACTCAACCTGTTTTTATGAGGCTGTTATCTTCTCCATTACTTCTTGCTGTGACACAGAATGATGCTCCATTAGCTTTTCGGTGGTCAGTTCCTGGTTATGTTCTTTCATTAGATTATCGATGTCATTGCTATCCACCTGTAGCCATATAATCTTGATCAGAGAACAAAATCTCACCAATTACAGGCTCCACAGGAATTTGCTCAACCCCCCCCGAGGTGTATTCTATAGTGCTGTCCAGCCAAAGCTTCTTCCACAGAGAAATAAGTGTTTTCTTGCTGACCGCCTCCCATGTCCTGTCAATCATCTTGAGGCAAGCAACGAAGTGAAAGTGGTCATCCCCAAATACTCTGACACTGAGATTGATACCTTCAGCTGCCTCAGAACAATGCTTGAAGAGTGCATTAATGTAGACCTTTTTAAAACTTGAAATAACCTTCTAATTCATCGGCTGCTGTAAAGAAGTGGTGTTGGGAGGCAGAAACTCGACATATTTAAATTCTTCAACGAGATTATTTTCTAGGCATGGAGATGTGCAAGAATGTTGTTCAAAACAAGTAAGCCAATAAGTGGCAAATTCATCTCAAGCAGGGTTTTTTTTTTTTTTTTTTTTTTTTTTTTTTTTTTTTTTTTTAACATACGGAGCAAACACTTTATTGATCCAACCTGTAAAAAGGCAATGTGCCTTGTTGTTGGACTTTTGCCTGTTCCTCTGAGCTTTATACTTCTTTAAGGCATGTGGATTGTATGAATGGTAAAAATGCAATGGTTTAATTTTCTATTATCACTTGTATTTTTACAAAATAACAGTGTGAGACAGTCTTTCATCAGCTTGTGCACCAGCAGTGCCTTTCTTTCTACTGTAAATACGTTTGCTTCAGCATCATATTCCAGAAGAGACTCATCACAATTTAAAACCTGCTGCATCAAGTAACCCTCAGAATTTAGAAGTTTCTGGAATATGGTAATGAATTCTCAGCTGCCTGTATGTCTGAGCTTGACGCTTCTTCATACCTCACTACACTGTAGATGCCAGTTCTCATCTTAAAACTTTTTCAAACACGCACAGACTGCCTTAAAAGCTTCTTCAACTGATGATCCTGGCATCTTTTTAATGAGGTTAGCTTGTCAAGATTACATGAACATTGCACAGAAATTCTTGTTATACCCTTTGAAGCAACAATCTCCTCATCTTAGCCTTGTTTCTAAAGACAGTGCAAATCCTTGATGGAGACCAATTATATGTGTGCTAGATTAGCATATTTCCACCTCATTTTCGCTTCTTAATGATTTGTGGTTTGACTTCTATAGTGATTTTCCTTCTCTTACCAGTCTTTTTTGGAAAAAAAAAATCTTTTATTTAAAAAAAAAAAAAAGTATAAGCATGCTTTGTATTAAAAAAATATATATGTATATGATATGTCTGAATACAATTTCAAAAGTGACAGTAATATGCTAGCTGAACACAGACTAATCACAGTAATAAAAAAAAACTGTAAATACTAGAAATATGTAGTATCACAATGTATTTGCATGTTTTCATCTTCACATTTATATACAAGGAGTATAGGTAATGACTTTTGTGAATGAATTTTAGGTTTCAAATAAAAGAGCTTTGGTGGTTTATAAAATTTCATAGTTACACAATACATCAGTACTAAGAATATCATACCACTCAAATGCTATTATTATTCACACAAGATTAATTTATAAAATTTCATAGTCACACTAAATATTTACACAATTAATGTCATGACACTAAAATGTTTTTATAGCTGACTAACCCAGCAGATGCTAATCATGTTTTTTATTTGACACCTCTGTATTTTTTATTCCTCTGCACATCAATTAATTTTGCAATCATTCAATAAATTGTAAAACTGATAAAGAACTATATTAAAATGTTCACTGATATCTTATTTTATATTAGAGGTGAATATGTATAATATTTGAGTAACTAATGTTTCAATAAAAACACATGCTGAAACTGGATAACAAAATGTATACTCACACATTTGCTTACGAAGCTTAAAATCAAGAGCGGCATTAGATAGCTTATTATTTCATTTAGCACTTTTCTACCATAAATTCAATAAAATATCTGATCTTAAAATTTTCAACTAACATTTTTTTACGAAAATAACTATATATTATTTTGTACATAATTTCTCATATAATTCCTAAAATTTGTAATGCTTTGAAATGCTTAAACTAGGCTTCGAAAGGGAAAATAGAAACTACATTTTATCACTTTATAAGGTATTTCTCCTATCTTCTTAACATGCCTTTGTAGGGTAGTGGTCAGCACGTTCAGTGCATATTCGAGAGGCCCATGGTTCAAGTTCCCATTGAAGGTGTTGCTCATTTTTCATTTCTCCTGCTTCGAAATAACCTAATAGCTCAATAAATGGCACCTGAAATAAAAGGTGCTAAATGATGATTCTTCACCACAAAAATTTGGCGACTGGGTCCCCTAAATCCCCAGTCACCCTTTAAAAGGGAAGTATATAATGTATTTCTTCCATCTTCTTAGCATGCCTTCGTAGTGTAGTGGTCAGCACGCTCAAAACGTATTCGTGAGGTCCGCGATTCGAGTCCCGGCGAAGACGTTGCTCATTTTTTATTCTTCTGCTTCAAAATAACCTAACAGCTCTACACTTACAAACATATGCAGCACAAAGTCTTTAATCCAGACTCGCCGGGACTTCGGAGATTCCGGATTAGGGGTTTTTCTGGATTATAGATCATAATTTAAATCTGGTAAGATGGCATGCAGAAATTATAAAATTAAAAATATGAAACCATAATTTATGAAATAAAGAGCTATTATGATCTAATGAGTATCAAAATTTACAAAAAAAAGGCTTAAGTATTTACTTTTTCTTTTAAAAGTTTCTTTTATGCAGTTCTTTAAGTTGTTGTTTTATTGCTAATATTTCTCTTTCATTCTATAAACAGACATAATTTCTTGTTCAGTTACAAGTTCCGCTGTGAAGTCCTGTAATGGCTGTGCCGAGAATATCGACAACTTGTCAATCGAATTTTTTCGTTTCACTAACCTTCTTCTTTATTCATCTTTATCCATTTTTGAAGTAATTCCACTTTTTGTTTGGTGGACCCGAAACATGCTCGCTTGTAGATCCTTGGCGCTCCAGAAACGGAAACTTTTTGACATAATATAAAAGTGAGCTTGAACAATTTTATAAAAGTTCAAGCTTACTTTTTATAAAATTGCTCTAACAGTCTGCAAAAAATAATAAGCTGGATCCAATTAGAAGATTAAGGAACAATGCCATCTACAACATTAACTGAAATAGATAATTAGATAATTTTAGCCTAGCTTATACTGTCCGTTATACATTAAACGCGCATGCGTAAATGTATTATGCACATGCATATGTGCATGCGTAAAGGTATTATGCGCATGCGTAAACAAACATGCGCAGAAAGTTTGTAACTTTGAGGTACGGATTATAGAGAACATTCCGGATTATGGACATACGGATTAAAGACTTTGTACTTTATATATTTTACATTATATTATAGACTAACTTACAATCACAAAAAAATTATAACAGTTTAAGACAATATTATGAGCTTTTATTGGACAGCTTTACAGTAATGGATACTAAAAGGCATTTGCTTATACATAGTGTTTTAAAAAGAGTGTGAAATAAAGATATCTTGAGTTTTATGACATAAATGTTTTAGGAAAAATATATGAAAATTTAATCTTGCATAGGCTTTTTATAAAAAATGGTCTGTTAGCAAGCTGTTCTTCACCCTATTATTCCCCTCCCCCCAGGAAAGGGAAATGTTCTGTTATACACAATATTGGCTTAAGAAAAATTGCAAAAATTATATTGGATCAGTAGCAATTTCACCCAGACAAAGGACAGCAAAATAGCATGTTTGTATATGGTCCTCATAACTTGTAATTTATGAGAGATGTGTTTAACAAAGGATATGTTATTTTTTTACATAAAATATATCTGTAGCTTAGTTTTTCTATTTTTCATGTTCTGTTACATTATGCTACCCAGTTACTTATTACATATATCTCTTGAAAAGCTTTCCATGAGGCTAAGAACTTTTATTTATCATTCATATGATATGCCAAAATACCAGTTCTCAGAGCTGTTGATATTCAACAACTGCAAAATCTTCCTTTGATCTTTCAAATTAAAACTATGTCAAATCAGAGCAATTTATCCACATCTTAATAATTAATAATTTTATTTATTTTTAACTGACCTCAACTAAATTATGCTAAAAAATCTTGCACTAGGTGTTATTTTAAGTCACTAAATATCATTAACTTTGTCACTTTTTGATAATATGAAAACATTACTTAACAAATAAAAAAATAACATGCATTTAAAATATAACTGCATATCTGAATTTGAACAGCAATGCAGCTATAATGTGCTAATCATTCTCCCCTTCTTAAAAAAAAAAAAAAAAAAATGTTGG